AACTATATCATAGCATATATATAATATAAAATAACTCTTAATATCTATTTTTAATATAGATGCCAAAGCGCGTTCACAGTGCTAGTGATCGTGATGATATCAATGAGTCTACCAATGCATCGAAACGTACACGAAAAGCAGTTGAACTAGTATGTGAATATTAAATGAATCATTATATTAAAATATTTCGTTTTTTCTTTAAGACTAATCTCTGTCAAGAATTTTACGATGGTATACGAGCTTGTAAAACTGAAGATGGAAGAATTCTATGTGAAAATTTCATACGACTACCGAATAAAAGGTTATTTCTTTTGAAAACGTTTTTTTTCGTTTAAATTTAAACACATTTCTATGTATAGAGCAAACGTGGATCATTCTAATTCAATTGATTTAACTCAAATTCAACAAAAAATTCATTCAGATGAATATACTTCTTTTGAACAATTTCTTGATGATATTGAATTACTTTTAAATAATGCAAAAACTTTCTATCGAGTAAACATTTATATTTTAACAAAAACGAAATATTTTTGTTTTTTTCATAGAAAAATTCTACTGAATGGAAAGATGCCAATGAATTATCAAAATATTTTTATTCTAAAACAAAATTTGAATCAATTGATACTTATTATTTCGAAGAATTTTTTACAGCTATTTATAATGCTCAAATCGATGATCGTCCTATCGTGGATATATTTTTATTTTTACCTTCACGAAAAGTAAAAACAAAATAATTTTATTTTAAAAATTATATATATTTTTCGTCAATAGATTTATCCAGATTATTATTTAATAGTAACAAAACCAATTGATTTAAAAATGATTGCAATTAAAATACAAAATAATGAATATGTAACACTTGATGATATGGAGAATGATTTATTATTAATGATTTCAAATGCAAGAAAATATAATGATCCAAAATCACAAATATATAAAGTAAAAACGTTTTCTATGAATACAGGAGAAATCTGATAATGAATTTAATTTTTTAGGATGCCTGCGCATTAAAAAAGATTATAACAAATGTTAGAAATGAACTTGATTCAGCATTAAAATCATCGAATGATAAATTAAGGTTTGAAAAAATTTTTTTTGAATGAATTTTATTGTTTGATTTTTTAAGACTTCGAAAACGTGACGTACTTTTATCATCTGAAGTTGCAAATATGGATTATCCAGAAGAGCCTGATGATGAAGAAATACAATCTCAACAGAATGATGATGCTGATTCTGAAACAAGTTCACTTGGTGATGAAGATGATTCATATCGAATTTTATATAATGCTATTCGATACTATAAGCTTGGTACTCAAAGTTTAATTGATCCATTTATAAAATTACCTAAGAAAAGATTCCATCAAGATTATTATGAAGAAATTCAACGACCAATTGCAATGTCTCTAATTAAAAATCAGATAAAAGTAAATTATTATTAGTTTTTCTTAAAACAAATAAGGAATTTATTGATTTGATTTTTTTCAGAAAGGAAAATACACACAATTAGAAGATCTTGTTGATGATATGAAATTAATGTTTGATAATGCAATGCAATATAACCAAGAAGGATCATTAATATTTAATGTAAGTTATATTATTCGCAAATACAAATAGGATGAACTTTATTTATTTAGAGCGCTAAAAAATTATTAGATGTTACTTTACTCAAAGCTCATGAACTTGGTTATGATGAACAAAAACCAAGAATAAAACAAGCTCGTATCAATCTTCCTATGGTAAAATAATTTTTATTGTTTACTTTTTTTTATCTAATATTTCTTCTTTCATTTAGATTCCAGTCAAAGATGAATATCTCGAATCATCTAGTCCTCAATCACCTAATGTAAAATCAACTAAATTTAAATTCTTTGTCAACGTTTAATTTTCTTTTAGTCACAACGTGGTCGATTATCAAAAAAACCTATTAAAACTCCTGAACAAAATATTCAAACAATCTATACTTACATTCGAGAATATCGAGTAAATCAAATAATCATAATCTTTTACTCTATAATTTCTATCTTTTTGTTATATCTAAAAAAGGAAAATGATATTGGATTAATTGCACCATTCTTAGAATTACCCTCAGCTGAAGAATATCCTGATTATTATGAGACAATTGAAGAACCAATTGATATGTCAATGATAAAAGATAAAATGGACAAAGGAATTGTAAATATCAGATGAATTAGGTTTTTTTCGTTTTTATATAATTAAATTTTTTCTAGTATAAACGTGAACAAGATATTATTGATGATCTTAATCGAATGTTTAATAATGCTAAAGTTTATAATGTCGATGAATCTTATATATTCAAATATGCATCACGTCTTGAACAAGCCTTAGCAACTAAATCTAAAACAATGATCATTAAAAAAGAAAAACCATCGCAAATACCTCGAATAATAAATAAAAAGTATGATTATTGATCTCTTCTGAAAAAAACAGGGCTTTCGTAACAGCTAAAATAGAACTTCTCACGCTGTATTTCAAAGGTTGTAAGAGTGTCAAATCAGGGCTGTCGTAATGAATTTTACAGGAAAGATGTAACCGTTCCTACAGAGTTACGATAGCCCTGTATTATCACCCATACTTCCTCAGTAAAGTGTCGTACGACAGCCCTGCATAAGCGATTACGATCACCCGGTAAAATTCGTTAGGACAGCCCTGAGTTTTTGTTACGAAATCCCTGATTATTTACTTCAAATTTCCTTGACATCGAAAAAATTGTTCGTTTGAATACTAAACTTTCTTTTTTCAATTTAGATCTGTAAATTCTGTACAAGATAAAATCTCCTATTTAATTCAATCTATAAAAACATATACGAATCGTTATGGACGAACATTATCAACAGTATTTTTAACATTACCATCAAAAATTGATTATCCGGATTATTATGAAATAATTCAAAAACCAATTGATTTAAAACGTATTGAATTACAACAATATTCATCAATTAATGATCTATCGAATGATATGAAATTAATGTTTGATAATGCATTATTATATAATGAACCTGGTTCAATGATTTATCGAGTAAATTTAATTAAAAAGAAAAATAGAAATTTTTTATTTATATTTTAATATTTAGGATGCATTGAATCTTCAAAGATTATTTCTTGAAAAAAAACGAGATTTTATACATAATGATAATGTACAAAATTTAGTTTGTGAACTTTTAATGTGTTTATTTATACAAACATTTAATTATGAAGTAAATTTAAATTTTTCTTTTACACTTTTGACACGATAGATCCTATTTCATTTTAACAAGAAAAATATTATTCTTTGTTAGTCAGAAATCACATATAATGTGTTGTTGTTACTCTTTAATCATTTATTACATAGTGCGATGCTTCCCATTAAAACAATCAAGACAATAATATTATTCACAATCAGGATAGAAAAATGTGATTTCCTTTGCTGCTCCATGTTTCCTTTCTCTTGATTGTTTTCTTCGAACGACTTGTTGATTATTGGTTCGGACTAGATTTTAGATACTCAAATACGAGGGTGATAAATAATTGATAGGAGATAATGAGAAGGTTACCATAAGTTAACTGTCAATAGATGTGCATATCTCGAAGAAAGCTGAATCGTACCGAATGAATTAATTAAAAAATTTTTGATTTTTTTTTCAGGATCAAGATAATCGATATACAAGTGATTCATTTTCTGAATTACCTGAACAAGCTGAGAATGAACCGTAAGAAAGATGAAAAAATTTATTTAATTACATAAAGAATTTTTTTTAGATTTGATATTATATATACATTTGATTTGGTTCGACAAAATCTTGATAAAGTATTCTATTCAATTATATTTAATCCTGTGTAATTCATCTTTTCTTTTAGCGACGCTATCATCGATTAGATGTTTTTCAAGATGATCTATTTAAAGTCTTTGAACGTGCTAGAAGATTAACTCCACCAACTTCACCAGTAAAATTTTTTTATTTCATTTATTCGTAATTACATTTTGATTATAGATTTATCAAGATTCAATTAAATTACAACGATTTTACATTCATTTACGTGATGATATTTGTCAACATGGTAGTTTACTTCGATCACCAGCACTTTTATTTAATGAAGATCGTTTTCAACAAGAACTTGTTCGAGAACGAACTGATAAAGATTCCAACACAAATACTAATAATCAGAACAGTATATCACCAACGAAATCATCTGATTCTGATGAAAATAAAATTTCTGTAAGTTATTTTATTATTAAAATACTCTTCTTCTTCTTGAGCATATTCATTACTGAATGTTTGCGACTAGTTTTCTAAAAGCATTTCTGTCTAGAACATTTTAAATTTGCACCCCTGTCCCATTGCTTTCCTAAATCTTGGCTAAGGCTTATGAAACTTGGTTCGGGTGAACCATGCTTCTGGCGGCCTTTGTTCGCCGTATCATTTTATCGTCTTTGGGCACTTTTAGTATTTTATAAGCGTTTAAGTGCCATCCAAAACCCCACTACACCTTGCTGATAAGAGTCCGAATTGTCTGGGACTGCCTTTTTCAGCAATTTCTTGTTCTTATTCGCAGCGGACCATCATACTAATAGCCGTTCCACTGTCTGCAACCGAATGATCTATTTTTTATTTTAGCCAAAAAAATCTTCATCATCTGCAGAGAAAAGTTCATTATCAAAAGGTGAAACATATTACTTGGGTGATTTTGTTTATATTGAACCTACTGATGAATCTAATGAACCAGTTATTGTTTGTATTGAATCATTTGAAAATAAAGATAATGAAGATTACCTAAGTGGTTTACAATTTATTCGTCCAAATGAAACTTATCATAGTCCGACACATAAATTTCTTCGTCAAGAAGTTTTTCTAACTCAAACAGTTGAACATATCCCAATGAATAAAATTCAAAATTTATGTTATGTTTTAAATGTTAAAGATTATTTTAAATATCAACCAATATTTGAAAATCAAACACCACTCGACGATCAAGATGTATATGTATGTGAATCACGTTATAATATGAAAACCAAAACATTTCGAAAAGTTAAATGGTGGAATTTACCAGAAAATAAACGTGTTAAATTAATACAACGTGATATTCCATTGGAAAATATTCGAATGCCATCAACATTAGTACATCATCGATCATCAACAATAGATAATGATTTAATCGATAAAATTAAAGAAACAATATTCTATGATTCAGTTATCAATGATAAATTAAATGAAAATTCGGCAATAAAAAAAAATTTTTATGAACAAATTGTTATTTCATCAAATAATTTTTATAAAGTTGGAGATTTCGTTTATGTAACAAATATTGAAAATAATAATAATAATGGGTTAGATAAACGATTTATTCTTCGAATTGATAAAATTTGGAAAGAGAATGAGTAAGTTTTCAATTTGACATTTTCATCGAATCGAATTTCTCTTTATTCTCAAGGTCATATTGTCTAAGTGGTCCAGTTTTCATTCAACCATCGGACATTATTAATCGAGAACAATTAATTGTTTTATCAAAATGTTTATATGAACGAGAAGTTTTTAAACGTGATGGTCCAAGTACACAAATCTCATTGAATAATATCAAAGGCAAATGTTCTGTACTTTCATTAAAACATTTTTGTACTCGTAAGTTTTTCGTACATCGATTTGTTTTTAACAATAGATAATATCAATTTATATTTAGATCGACTAACTGAAGTATCTGAATCTGATGTATATGTTTGTGAATCAAAATATGTTATAGATGATCATAGTCTTCGTGGTTTATCAAAACCATTAAAAGTAAAATCTATGAAAATGAATTCATATCTTATTTTTTTTGCTATTTCAATAGAGAATATCATTATCTTCAAAGGCAACAGCTGATGAAATATGGACTTTTCGTAAAGAACTTTTACTTAAACAAGTAAGATTTTGTTTATTTTATATTAGAAAAATACAATTTAATTTTATAAGGATATACCTGGTGGTCTATTCAAATTAGTTGACGATAGTTCAACAATAGATACTGAAGATCAATTGAATAGTATTCTCAATGGCGATGAACATCATTCGAATTTTGATAATAATTTAAATTCATCATTTTCAAATCGATATAATAATAATCGAGTAAGAATATACTTTTGTTTCTTTTTTAAATTTTTGCAATATTATAATTTTTAAATAGAAAAGTAATCGACGTACATCCACATCTCGTCCACCATCTGGTTATCTTGTCTTTGCAAGTGACTCACGAAAACGTTTAGTACGTGATAATCCAGGTATTCCATTCGGTGAAATGAGTCGAATAATTGGTGATCAGGTAAAAAAACAAAACAAAAAAACTTTGACAAATCGATCTACTTATATTTATGATTATATAGTGGAGACGATTATCTGTATCGGAACGTGAAAAATATGAAGAACGAGCTCGTGAACGAGCAAGAGAACAAGATACACCGATAGCAAATAATTATGTAACTCATGAACCACCACCACCATCACTACTACCACTACCACCACAAAGAATAGTTAATGGTGGTGTAGCTATAAATGGATATTATCCAAGTATGTCTTTTACTCTTAAAATAAACTTTTAATAAATAAATAAATAAATTTAGATGTTCAACCAATGAATAGTATCCTTCCTGTTTTGTTAAAAGCACCCATAACAGCACCTGTAAATTTTCCTCCACGAATTCAACGAGTTGTACATTCTGAAACTTATTCAAGGTATATTGATCATCTTAAAAATGATCATCCATTCATATCCGATTGGCCAAAACAACTAAAAGCATCAATTATTAATAATGGAAATATATCATCAAGAACATTACCATCACATTGGTTAATAAATAATAGTCCCGGTTTTTATAATAATGTTTATGAAGCTCTTTGGTCAATGCGTGATAATATGTGGTCGGATGTTGTTCGTGTACGAAATGTACTTTCTGATGAATGGTAGAGAGTTCTTGTTGGTTTTTTTTTCTCCTCTTTTGTTATCTCTACACACTCATTCTACGAGTTGTGTAAGTATAGAATTGTTTATTACAGTAAATATATATATATATGTATGTAAAATGGGTTATTGTAGAATGTAGTTTTGTGTTTTTCTTTTTTTCTCTTTATGTTTATTTCGGCTTATTGTCTGTATGCACTGTTAATTTTCTTTTTTGGATTCATTTCGTCTAAATCTATATGTAATGCTAAGAAAAACACAATGGCAATTTTGTTTGTTCATTTTCCGTGATATATTACGGGATATATTGTGTATGTCTTGTGAATGCTTTTTTTTAAAATGTACAGAGAGACCATTATGTTATTAAAAGAATATAACAGATGATTTAAAATTAAAAAAAATATGATATATAGAGAATGGTTAATCAATTTGTTTTAATAAATGTTTATGTATGTTAATGGAAAGAAGAGAATATAGATTTATTATTAATCTAAGATAGTTGTATTCAAGATGAATACATTTTGACTTTTTGATACTAAGTGATGAACTGAACTTCTTTGCCAATACGAGAAGAACGCATATTCTATCTTCTACATTTCTGATATTAGAAGAGCATATCTTTGTTTGCTTAAAACAAACAATATGAACTAGTTATAAAAGAGACGTACGAAAAAGCCTTGATATTCATTAGTCAAGAAAATAAATACGCCATGATGGATGTTCTTTTAGTATATGATGTATCTGCATTGGTCAAATGAACTACAAATAGTTCAATGTGTTTCATTGCATTAAAAATGTTTATTTTTTTATTGACTTTTATTTTGATAAAGTAGTTTTCAACAAAAATGATTTTTCGTTATTTTCTTCCAAAGTATGCTGTCTTATTTATCTTTTCATTATACATCAAAAAAAAAAACACAAGAAACAACAAATAAACAAACAAAAAAAAAACAAATGATGCGCTATATATGTATGAACGAGAAATATAATGAGAGAAGAAAAATAGAAGAAATTTTTCCGACAAAAGTATCATCGAATCGATAAAACAACAAATGAGTTATTCTATGATGGTGGTGGACCCGGTGGTAGTGGTGGTTGTTTAGATGATGGTCCATACATGTGATAAGATGGTGGATACATTGTTGATGATGGTGGCGGATGTGGAAATGATGAATTATAAAATCCAGTGAATGGATTACTTGTCGATGAAGATGATGATGTTGATGGTGGTGGTACTTTTATTCCATTTGGTTGAGATCTTTGTTGTGTATGCATACCATTACCATTGATTGCTGATGCATAAGGATGTCGGGCAGGTTCATCCTGAATATTAATGTAATATAAGTAAATAAATAAATGAAAAATTTATTTATAATAAAAACTTACATGTGAAGGACGGGAAGTATCTGTTCGTGCACGTTTTATATCTGTTCCATAGGCATTAGTACTGTCAAACCGTGATGTACGTACTGGTGGACTACGACTACGTGATCGTTTATTACTAAAACGAGTTGGCCGAGTATTCGTATTATTGAAATTACTTGCACCACGATTTCCTCCACCTCGATTTCCACTCATATTTCTTCGATCATGTCCTAAATAGAATATATTAAAATATTATTGAAAAAATATAAAAATTTATTTAATAAATATACCTCCTCGATAATTATTGCCACCACGATTATTACCAAAATATTTTGTTTTGGCCATTTCATATAATTTTTCATTAACATCTTGATTTGAATCTTTCAATAGTTGAATTAATTCTTGGGCTTGCTTGGCATTTTCTCGAGTAAAAAAACTATATGCTGTACCCTTAGCACCTGAACGTGCTGTTCGACCAATACGATGAACATAATCTTCTGTTTGTGGTGGATAATCAAGATTAATAACAATACGTACATCATCCACATCTTAATATATACATAAAAATTAAAAATAAAGTTCTCATGTTTTTTTCTTCTTTGAGAATCTCAATAACAAAAAAAAGAAAATAAGAATCTACAAGCATGATGATCATATTACTTCTTATTAAAAAAAAACATTTTTCTCCTTTTTGTCTTTCAAAGCAAATCTTATTAAGGCATAAAAGAAAAATAAAAATAAAATAAAAACATGAAATTATTACCGTGCACCAAGTCCACCAAGATGTTCAACGACCGCCAATATTTTTTTTATTATGTGTACGCATTGATATTCGAACGTGTATAAAATCCATCCGTTCGAAGGCAATACGATAACACAGGTAAGCGGCACGCCGAACGTCGATATGACTTAGCACATTTATAATGAAATTTGTAAACCGTCATCATGTCAATAAGACTGAAATAGTCATTAAATATTTTAATGACGTTTAGCCCGAATTTTTCTTAGCTCTCTGTCTGTATTGCTTGACGAACAGCAATGACATGTGCAGGCACGCCTCCGCCGTAAGACGCACCTGCAAAAATAGAAATTGAGATAAGAGTTATAACAATGAATGAACTTATTCAATGAAAAGACAAGAGATAGAAAATAACATACCTAAACCACGAGCAGCAACGTCAGTTGCGATAAGAACAACCCGAGATCGACTGCGAAATTCTATAACAAAAAAAAAGAAACTAAGATTACTGAGACAACCCGTTATTTTTAATAACAAACCTTGTAAAACTCGGTCACGTTCTTGTTGACGTTTATCTCCATGAATTGGCAGTGCTGGATAACCCAGACGTTTAATTGTAAAAAAGAAATCATCTACACGTTTTTTTGTTTGAGCAAAAATGATCACTTTACAATCTTGATCACGCATTACTGCTGATAAAACTTTTGCTAATCTAATTCACACAAAAAAAAATTATTTTTCTTGTTATCGAAATAAAATCTTACTTTGATTCTTTTTCATGTTCTTCACATACATCAACAATTTGATGTATATTTTGATTAGCATTTAAAATGGCTTTACCCAATGTTATATGTGCACAATTTGTCATAAAATCTGATGCTAATTTTTGAACTTCTTTTGGCCATGTTGCACTAAACATAGCTGTTTGACGATCAGGTCGAATACATTTGATAATTTTTCGTATTTGTGGTTCAAAACCCATATCAAGCATTCGATCAGCTTCATCCAAAACAAGAAATGTAACACGATCAAGATTAATTGTTTTTTCGCGTACAAAATCTAAAAGACGACCTGGTGTAGCAATACACACTTCAACACCATAACGTATTTCACGTTTTTGTGGTGGTTTTGGTGCACCACCATAAATGCAAACACTTCGAGAATTTGTTGCAGCACAAAAATCAGCTCCAACAACTTGAATTTGTTGAGCCAATTCACGCGTGGGTGCAAGAATAAGTACGAGTGGATCACCCGATCTAGAATTGGTTTGACCAGCTGCATGAATTAATGCGGGTAACATAAACTATAAGATAATATTAAAAAACAAAATGAATGATTTATATAGAAAAAAAAAGAACTCAATTCGTACCGATAAAGTTTTTCCAGAACCTGTTTGAGCAATACCAACAAGATCACTTCCAGTTAATAGAATAGGCCAAGCTTGTCCTTGTATAGCTGTTGGTCGAACATAACCAAGTTGTTGAATAACATTACGAATAGCACCTAATGAAATATTATTATTACAAATTAAAATTTAATTATCCAATTAATCTTACTAGGAAATTGTACTTCATCAAATGCAAGTATTGGTTTCGGTGCAAAGCCACGTATTGACATTTCGTTTTGAACATAAAATTGATCAGTAATATGCTATTATAACAACGAGATTAAAATTTAATTTATTTTAGAAAATATATATATACTTGTGGGCGATTTGAAATCATGGGTGATTCGGTATAGAAATTTTTTATTACTGGTGGTCCAGGACGTAATGGTGCTACTGTAAATGAATCCAAATCATCGAGTAAACTATTTCCACCATGTCGATCACCACCACCTCGATGATTCCCATACGAACCTTTACAAGAAAAAAAACAACAACAAAATTAATATTGAAAAACTTTTTTCTTTATACAAGATATTACCTCTTGATGATCCATAACTATTATTTCCACCACGATTATAATAACTCATTTTTTTTCTGAAAAGTAATGTTCTATAAAATCGGATTATTTTCTCTCTAACAATGACGAAATATGTGTATATATATACGTATTTTTTTTTTAATAGAAGCCATACTGTATGTATGTGTACACTATCATGAAGGATGTTTTCTTTATGAATAAAAAATTTTTTAAAAATAATTATTTTATAGAAAAATATTTATAGAATATTTAAAATATTGTTTTTATTTAAGAAAAAGAATTGTTTTTTATTAATAGCGCCACATGGTAATAATCAATGTCGCTAGATGGATGAATATATTCTTTTCATACACATGGAGTTTCCTCAACTAGGTCAGCATTGTTCTGCTACAACATGCAACAAATTAGGTATTGTCATTTTCAGTAATTATTTTCTAATAATTTTCTTTGATTTATTTCGATAGATTTTTTACCGATGAAATGCGATGCATGCAGTGCTATTTTTTGGTAAATTTTATTCTTTTTTTTTGTATTTTAATAATTTATATTTTGATAGTAATGATCATATAAAATATGATGAACATCAATGTCCATCATCTCATCGTAAAAATATTCAAATACCAATTTGTCCATTATGTAATCAAGCTGTTTCATATGAATATCGTGATCAATCACCTGATCATGCTGTATCAGCTCATATAGATCGTGATTGTAAATCAAAAAAACGTGAGAAAGTTTATTCAAATAAATGTTCAATTCCATCATGTAAACAACGTGAAGTTATTCAAGTGAAATGTGACATATGTTTAAAAACATATTGTCTACGACATCGTTTTCCTGATGATCATCAATGTCAACAAATGAAAAATACACCAGTTACTACTTCGAAACCATTACCAACGAAAGTATCCTCAAATCAAAGGTAAAATTTATTTTTTCTTCAATTTTTATATTAATTATATTTTTGATTTTCTCTTAGAACTCAAGAAGAAGATGATTATCTATTAGCTAAAGCGTTACAAGAAAGCGAACGAGAAGAATCTCAACGAAATCGCACACATGTAAATATATCGAATGCTCTTTACGTGACAGTAATGAGTGAATATCGTGCCCTCTCTAATTTACTTTCTACTTTTCAAATGAAAATAATCTATTTATATTCACTCATTATTATAATTGAAATCTTAATCTATACCATTTTATCTATTTTTAGCAAACGACGACAACAGCAACAAATAACAGTGCTTCATCGGCTGATAAAAAAACTTGTTCTGTTCAATAAATAATGTTATTTTTTAAAAAGAAATAAATTGACAGTTTTTTTTTGCTTTTTTACGGGGTGTGTAAATATAATTTATAAAATATTCCAGATAAAATCATGGATTTTGGTGAACCATCTCCAGATGTTATTGCTCGATTATATAATGAAATAAAAGAAAAAAAGGTTTTTTTTTGGATATTTATCGTTTTTATTATGTATAGACTTTTTTTTTAATCAGATTCTTGAACTTGATTGGAAAAGCCCAGGTAAAAAAAGTCGAGCAAAAATACAAAAAAAAGCTGAAAAACATATTAGTCCTATTAAATCAGATGAATCTACTAATTCCAAAACTGAAGAAAATAAGTAAGAAGAATAAAAAATTAGAATTTCTTATTCTATTTCTTTTTTTCCCTATAGATTAATGAATGAAATTGATGAATTTGATAATGACGATGCATTAACATCAAACAATATAACTGTTACCTCATTTCGTTCAGCTGGTACGTTCACACTAAATATTATTTCAATATATTCTTAAATTTTTCTTTTAGTTGGTAAACCAAAAACAAATGAAAAACGCCTTATTGATATGAATACTGTTATTGCTAATATTGAACGTCAACAACAAGAAGATGAACGAATTCGGTATGAGCAAAATATTTAATTTAAACAAAAAATGTCTTATATATATATATATTTATTTAGACAAGGTATGGATACATCATCGAATGAGAAAGTTTGAAAATAATTCATATTTATTATGTATAAATTGTACATGATTTGTATTCTGTTAGTGTTTACATGTAGAATAAATAAAAAAATGGGAAAACATTAAGATTTTTTAAGCCATTTATGAATTGAAGCAAGTTGTTTTAATTCAGCCATATCAACATGATAATCGTCGGTTATTGTGTTATTATATTCACATAAAATTGAAGCTGACGTTCGTCCATGTGCACAAATGAAAGGCATTGAACAAGATTTTAATTCATTCAAAAGATGATTACATTCATTCTTTGATAAAATGTCATTAAATTTAATTGCATTATGACAAGCTAATGATTTAAGTGTTTCATACATAATTAATTTCGACTGATTATTTATTGTAAGAAGAAGAATATTATTAATTGTGCTAGTAATAATAGTATCAAGTAAACATGTTGATGATTCACGTTGTTTAAGTGTTAAAATCCAATTAGGTACAGATCGAACAAGAAGATTATGAATTGATATCGAAGAAAACTTAAAACCTGTACGTTCAAGTAGAGATATTTGTTCGGGTGTATAAAGAAAACGTGGATTACGAGGAATAGTAATTGGTTGAGATAATCGAAATGAAATTGAATGAATATTTTCTTTTTGAAGTTGTTCGAGAAGAATACGTTCGGATATAGCATGTTGATCGAAAAGAATTATTTGAATTTTATTAATATTTGATGAATGAATAAAACGTTTTGTAACAAGAAATTTTTTATCAAATTGACCAAGAAAATAAATTTCATGAAGAATATTTATATTCACAGATTGTTTTGATAGCATTTGTTGAATATTGAATATTGCTGGATAAATACGAGGAGGTAATGTATTATTTACAGTTGAATAAGAATTATCGGAAGATTGTTGTTGATTTTGTTCAGTAACTTGAAATATCTGACGAATATTTGTTGAAAGACGAACGGGATGTTGATGCTGATGAGTTGTATTACGTTTATATACAGACCATTCTCGTCGTTTCGATTGAATAAGTGTATATTTATAAGCATCTGTACGTGAATTTTCGAGAGTTGTTCGTTGTCGTTTATGATATAATGTTTCTAGTTGATCATTGACTGTATTAGACATTGCACGAGCTGCATGATATCGTTCAAGAAGATTACTATCAATCGACATTTTGTTCTAACTGTTTTTAAATTTAAATATAGACAGAATAGTATCGTTCAATATAAACAACCCTAGATGAACATTTGAAGAAAGAACGAATAAAAAAAAACGTCTTGTTAACTAGTTGAATTGAATACATATGTATTTGCTCGGTTTATATATTATTCAAACATTCATCTTTTGCTATGATAATCTATTGACATATGTTTGATGTTATTCATCAAAAGAATTATTTATTTTGATTTCTCAACACAGAATATTCAATAATATTTTCCGGTAAAATCACATATGAGTAGATTTGAAAAGGAGTTCATTCTTGTAAATATGTTTATCATGGTATCCCGAAATATTCACACGAGCTTACGAATAAGGGTATGACCATGGGCGGCGCGATAGCAAGTACCGAGTCAACAATTGCGTCTCCTAAAAAATCGAAGCTGCGCCGCCTATGGGTACGAAGGTAATATTGAATAGGTTCGTTTTATTTCCAAACGTCTTTCGCATACCCGTTTCTTATCACATATTCTAACTCAATTCACCAGAATGGATACAAAACACTCATTCGATAAATTGAATGCTAAGATTTTATAAAAATTGTATGGAACTATTTTATTTATCATATTTTATATCAAAACACACACGCACACAGATGAGTTAACTGAGATTACTTTTAAATATAAAAACAAATCTAATAGAAAAAAATGATTCACCATTAAAAAGTAACTATAAATTAAACAAGATGCTAATAATGGAGATATAAGCAAACAAAAACTGATCTGCTCTTGTTGCACAAGAAAAATAAATAAATATATTCATATATTTCGAATCATTCCTAAATCTCGATCAGCTTCTTGAATTTCATCTAATTTTTTACTGAATATTTTTAGAAGTTTTCCAGCAAATTCTTCTTGTGAAACAAGTAATTTTGATACTTTTTGTCGTATTTTATCATTTTTATTAATGTTATTATCATCTTTTGTATGGCCCTAAATGATAATTTCGAATAAAAATAATAATACCATAAGAAAATGAAAATTTTAATACCTGAGAACTATCGTCTGTTATTGACATAATATCATCAAGATCATCTTGAGTTAAATTTAATATTTTACTTGCTGTACTCATTGCTGTATCATAACCAGGCAATGTCATTGATAATGATTCACGTTGTCTTTGATGTTCGCGTGCTCGTTTAACATTATCTTTCATTTGAACACTTCGTCGAATCATTTCATAAAGAAGACCCTAATAGAAAAAAAATGAAATATATTTTTTGTAAATCAACAAAATTTAAATTACATTCGTAAATTTTTCATGTTCATGTAAAGATCGTCGTGTACGATCTAATTCAAATGCAAGTTTATTCAATGTTTCTTGATTTTTTGTATTTAATGTTAATAATTGTTGTTCTGATAAACGACGTGTTGTTAATAATTCTTGATTTATATGTTCATGATTAAGACGATGTTGTCGAAGTTGTTGTTCATTTAAACGATGTTTTGTTTGTATATCTTCATATCGTATTTTCTATTTAAATAAGATATAATTTATTGAAAACAAAGAAATATATATATTTACTAATTTTTGATGTTCATCAAGAATTTGTTCATAACGTGTTTCAAGAAGTTGTTTTTCTCGTGATACAGCTTGTAAACGATTTTTATAGGAATCGAGCTAGAATAAAAAAGGTAAAGTCATATTAATTTTTATTGTTTAATCGACTATGTAAGCAAAATATGTCTTGTATTTAGTCGATTATCGGTTCTCTAGTTTTAAAAATACATACTGAAACTCGTAGTTTGTCCATTGTTTCTGTTAGTGCTTTAATTCGTTCTTCATCACTCTGTTTAAATAAATAGAAAAAAAGAATAGATATATATATATCATGATTTGAATTACTTCATGTGTAGATTTTTCATGTGCACGATTTCCATTTGTTTCGATGTCAGTTAATCGTGTTTTATAATTTTCAATTAAACTTCGTTTACTTGCTATATCACGTTCTGTATGTGTTAATCTATATAGATATATAATGAAAAAATAATAGAATAAAAGAAAAATAAGAATATCTTTTTAACTGACTTGTCAGTTAATGATTGAAGATTTTTTGTAAGTGTTTCATTATCTTCTTGTAAAGTTTTATTTAATTTACGTTGTCGAGTAGCATCAAATGATGTATTTTTAAGACGAACATATAGATTTTCAATAGTTTCACTACTATCCGAAGTTGAAGAATCACTACGTCGATTTTCATTCAAGGATAATGTTGATTGAAGAAGTTGATCATGCTTTGCTCTATCACTTTCATTAAGAAGTCTCTAGAAGATTAGACAAAAAATTGAATATAGAAAAAAGCTTATTCGAAATAACAATTCGAACTTGATTTGTAGCTTTAAGTATATTAACTCGATTGAGTGTTGTTGTTAAACGTTGATTAAGATGTGCATTTTCATCTCTAGCATTTGTAAGATCCATTTCTAATTCTTCAATACGTCTACGCATTGTTCCAATCTAATAAAACAAAACAAAAATGGTTGATTATTATATTTGCCAAAAAATCATATACTCTAGTTGGAGATTTCTTTTTCGATTGAGGTATTGAACATTTTCTTGCATACTGTGAATATGGATCACGTTGAAAAGAATTTGCTAAGCGAACTTTATTGTTAGCATTTTTCTTTAATGGAATACCTAAAATAAAATGTTTTAATAGCAACAATACTAATTCAATTACTAACATTTCTTTTTCTGCATTGTTGATGATATTGATGGTCTTTTTTTACGTTTCATTAACGAAGCTTCTGTATGATAATCACAAAGACTGCATGCACGATAGTGTTGTTGTCGTCGCCATCGATTCGTATTAAATTTTTCTGATTTAGCTGATGATACTCGATAACGAGCAGATGATTGATTTGGAAGATCATCAGCATATCTAGGAGATGGATTTAGATCTAATAACATTTCTAAACACGATTTATTTGGGTTCTTTTTAATGATTCGTTTCTTTTTAATTAATGATGGTTTAATAATATTTTTTTTATTTGGTAATTGATTATTTCGTTTTAATTTATGAATTTGATCTTGTAATGCTAATATACGAAGTTTAAATTTTTTTAATTCACTCGTTGTTTGTGTTCGTTGTTGAATTAGATGTTGTTTTTCATCAATACATAGATCAAGACTAGTTTTTAAACGTTCTTGTTCAAATATTAAACATGTTCGTTCAGTTTCAAGATCATATAATTTTTTATCATATTCTTCAATTAAACGTTGTTGATCATCACTTGATTTAGTTATTAATGGAGATGAAATCTTGGATTGACGTAGTTCATCTTTATCATTTAATAATTGAATTTCATTTCGAAGTTCACCAATAACAATTGTTTGTTCATTAATTTCAATTTCTTGTAAATCAGCTTTTTCTTGTAAACTTACACTAATTTAAAAAAAGAAACAGATTTGTTTCCAGAGGTTAAATATATCGATCTTACTTTTCGTTAACTACTTTTGCATTCTCTCGTCTTAATTTTGTTACTTCATTCCAAACATTATCATCATCTTCATGTTTAAGTACTTTTCGTTTTGAACCTGCTGGTTTTCTTCGTTGTTGATCATCACATACTGAACAACCAACTTTATTTTTTCTTATAACTCGACCATAAAAATAATTATTAGGAGTACTTTTTTGTAATATTTCATCATCAGTATAAGATTGTAATTCATCTTTAATTGAACGATATTGTTTTTGTAAATGTTTAAGACGTAACCAACGTTTATCATGAACTTTTTTTAATGTAACTATTTGATCATCACGTTTAACAAGTAACTGTTGAACATTAGCTAAACGATCTGTTAATGTATGAATTTTCTTTTTTAAATATTCAATATCTAATGGAGATGATGTTGGAGATTCATCTCGAATTGGTGGAGATGGACGACGTTTCTTTTGAGATGAAGATCGAGTTGGTCTAAAAATTTTAAATTGAATTAATTGTTTATTTTGTTGATGACTTACTTTCCCGTAGATGAATTTCGTCCAATATTTTCATTACAACTTTGCCAACGGCTGTCATGAGATAAGTGCCCCTTGAAGAAACAAAGAAAGAAAGAAGGAAAGAATATTTTCATAATCAATAATAAAAATAGAGACTCACCGGTTCTGATTTATCTCGCTTACGACGGAGAGTTAATTTTAAATGTTCAATTTCATTATCACGATCACGTAACGTCTGGACATAAAGAAAATATTTTCAATACATTAATTTAACATTTATGCGAGTTTTTATATAAACCAAGGAGTGGTAGGAAGAAAGCGAGCTGTCTTCTATTAACGGATGCTATCTGCCTGAACAGTATTATAACGCAATACTTATCGATGAGAGATATACGATTTTTATAAATAAATCTCGATGCGTTTTCGTCATCTCTTTACAACGGTGAAAACCGTAGCTCTTCATCTTATACCTGTATATGATTACCTATCATAAAAACTGAGAGTACTCATTTGGAAATACCGAAACATGGGTTATATTTCAAAGTGATTTATTTCTCAGAACATTATCTATAATATGTAGATGTCTATTCATATTCTGATTGTGAAATAATTTTACTCAGATATAACGATCACAGTTGCGACAAATGCTTTTATTCAAAAATTCAAGTGTTTATATTATAGTCCTTTCATTTTTTGAAATAAGTCTATATTGAGCAGTCTTAGAGTTACAAAAATACGTATATACAATTGACTTATTAGGACTTCATTCGATACGAACTTATGTTTAAGTACTTGTCGTTTTGAATACTATTTACAATCTTTTTCAAGTTCACTTCTACATGCCAGAAGAAATATAATCTATAGTTTTGAACAGTGAAAGACAAAGCGAGATGTAACCTTGTGAATTTGTATTTCTTACGAATTGTCAAGATATTACTAAGAAGGTGTATCAAGTATCAATCCTATATAAACTATTTTTATACGTGACTCAATATAAACTATATAGTCAGCAATAAGCTAGCGAAAATATAACATACAACGATGTACTTCTTCGTCAAAGTACCTAATTAAGATCTTTTGAACTATAGAAACAAAACTAATATCATTTCTTTGTATTCAAACGAAAACTTCATATTGCTTCTCGGTAAATAAAGGATTAGATTGACTATGTTTTTATATGGCTTGTTTGTTAAATATTTGTTAAAGTTTACATTATTCTAATAAAAAAAATGTAATAGGTTATTGTTACTAATTAAACATTGAAATAAGGATAAAAATTTGATTAAAGTATCGTTCAATTGATTAGAAAAAGTCTATATAGAAAAGAAAAGTTTGCGTGACAATATAGACATGTCAATAGAAAATTAATTGAAGGACTTATTCTTTGCATTAACTTACATTTTGAAGGGTTGCAATGTGTACTTTTAATGAGTTGTCTTCAAAATCTCCATCTATATTTTTTTTAGAAATAAATATTTTTTTTATTGAATATTAACTAAAATATTTACTTGTTTGTTTTTTCTTCGATAAATCACTGATTTCTTTTCTAATCAATGAAAATAAGAAAATTTAAAAAAAAAATATTTTTTTTCTTTTGATTAAAATCCTTACCTAAGTTTAGCAATAGTTTCTTCATGATTTTCAACTGTTGATTTATAGGAATCAAGTTTATGACGCCAAAGTTGTGTATCAGCAGCAATACGATCAAATGTCTAATCAATAATTTTAAAAGAGAAATACAAAAGAAAAAATTCTACCATAATTTTTTCATGACTGATAGCTTCAAAATCAGATTTTTCTCTTAATTGTTTTGTTAGATCATTAATATGTTCATATAAACCTAATTAATTAATTTATTTCAATAGAATTGAGAAAAATATTAAGAATCCTACGTTCATTTTCAATTTGACAATCACGTATTGTTTTTTCAAAAGTATGTACTTGTAATTGATGTAATTGTTCAAATGTTTGTGTCTAAAATATTTTTTATTATTCAAAAAAATAGAAAAATATAAATGCGTAATATTAACCTTTCCTTCATACTGTCGTAACTGTTCTTCGAGTGCACGAAATTCTACATTTTTCTTCTTAAGTAAATCTTCTAAGTATGATTCACTAGATATATATATAGGAATATACATCAAAATTACCCAAATCTTCTTTATTCTTACCGTTCTTCTAATTTAGTAATGGAAGCATTTTTTTCTTGGACAACACGTTCAAGTTTTTCTATTAATTGTTCACGATTTTTTGATCGAAGTTCTTCACTGTTTAATAATGTAAACTGATGATCACTTGTAAACCTTAAATAAAATATTAGTAAATGCTCTGATTTCTATTATAATTTTATACTTCGGCTCTATAAAAGCACTCGATGGCGCGTGAACACCATTCGGAGTAGCCATATTTATTAAATAGTTAATCTTTTCTTAAAGAAAAGCTTGGCTGTATTATCGATCATTACACACGTATTTCTTTTTCGTTACCTTAACTACCCTCTCCTTGTTGGTTTCACTGCATTCAAATGCACTACTGTGTTGAATGATAGAAATAAAGAAAAAGAACATAGAAAAAAATTCTCGCGGTATTGAAAATTTTCAATCTTATGAAATGAATATAAATATTAATAGATTTCGAATAACTTCTTACTCGGAGGAGATCATTTTTCTATCATTGTTCTTTGTTACTAAACAAACGTCGTGTCGGACTATAATAGAACTGTACCTAGTCTTTGTTCTTTTTAAATCTATACATTCTCGATTATTCGTCGACCATTTTCTTTCCTTCTGCTTCAGAATTCAAACGATCGATCAGATATTCTTATAACAATGCCACCAAAAAAAGGAACTGCTAAGACAACAACATCAACTGAAAATGATACTGATTCCAAGCAAATTCAAGTTAATATAGAATTATTCATAGATGAAAATTAAATATTTCCTATTTAGAAAAAACAAGATGAAGAAAATCAGCAACCAACAGAAACTGAACAATTAAGTCCAAAGAAAAATTCCACTGAATCAAAAAAAGCTGGAGTAAATTATTTCGAATTTAAATTTCTTAAGAAAAATATCTATTCTATCAATTAGAATAATAAAGCTGCTGGTCGATTACGAAAAAAATCTGAAGCTGAAAAACTTCAAGAAGAAGCATCTGGTGTAAATATATACATGTCATTGTTTATATTTCTATATTATAATAATTTATAAATTTAGTTTATTGACCGAGCAAATAAAAAATCTGAAGTAGCTGATGATTCAACAGAAGAAGATAATGATGATGAACAACAATCATCAAAGAAAAAATCGAATACTTCTACTAAAGCAATTGGAGCTCGTGGTGGTAAACGTCAAGCAGCTAAAAATATGCCTACACATGATGAAGAAGAAAATGAAGATGAAAAGGCATCATCGACTTCTACAAAAGCTCCAGCTAAAGGCAAAGGTGCTGCTCAAAAAAATAAAAAACCAGAAGAAGATGAACAAAAAGATGCTGGTAAATAATTTAATCCTTTCCGATAAAAACACCGGCGAAAGATTATCAAATAACAACATTCGATTAGAAAGAATTTATTTTCGTTTATCTAGGTACTGGTGAAGATGATGACGCCGAAAATGAAGATGAATCACCAAGTAAAAAAACTAAAGGTAAAGCAGGTCGTAAACCTGCTCAAAAGAATAAAACCGAAGCTGAAAATGAACATGGTAATAATGACATAAATATTTTTTCTTTTTATCAAAAATTTATTATTTTAGAACAAAATGAAGATAATGATACAAAGAAGAAATCAGCTACTGCTCGTAAAGGAAAAGCTGGAGCAGCATCAAAAAAATCTGAAACTGAAGAAAAATCAACAAATGATGATCTTAAATTATCTGAAGATGAAGA